TTATACTTCCGTTTAAGGACACTCGAGGCCCAACGTCTCAAGGCCTTTTAGGCTAGCTTCCTTCAAACCTCAAATCTTGGTTACTCTCTAATTTAACTTTTAACCCTTTTCCCATTTACCCTGAGAACACTCGCCAGCAGCACTTCCGGCTGCAGCATTTACCCTAAGATAACTTTGCCAAGAAAGACCTTGGTTTTATTATTACTTTTGCATTTCTCTGGCATATTGATGTTGGAAACAAAAGACATTATTCTATTTATAGCATTCTGTTTTTAGTAGTGGTATTTCCATTTACAAAATATAGTAATCCTTGATTGCTGAAAATGTCAGAGCCTAGAAAACGTAGCATTCCTATGCGTGATGTTAACATCATTAAACGGCTGTTGGCCGAAGACTCATGTGACGAAACCAATTTTTCTAAAATAGATGGCTCAGATGATTCCAGTGATTCTGATATTAGGTTTGTTTAGAAATAGAACTTCAAAAACAGTTTTTATATTTTCCTTCCACATTGAAAATCAGTCAGATTGCTTTGGCCTCAAAGCATGTGTTTATGTAAAATTAAATGAGCACTAGCAGCCAGCTGTACTTTCTTTTCTTTTCTTTTCTTTTCTTTTTTTTTTGAGATGGAGTCTCGCTCTGTCGCCCAGGCTGGAGTGCAGTGGCCGGATCTCAGCTCACTGCAAACTCTGCCTCCCGGGTTCACAACATTCTCCTGCCTCAGCCTCCGGAGCAGCTGGGACTACAGGCGCCCACCACCTCGCCCGGCTAGTTTTTTGTATTTTTAGTAGAGACAGGGTTTCACCAGGTTAGCCAGGATGGTCTCGATCTCCTGACCTCGTGATCTGCCCGTCTTGGCCTCCCAAAGTGCTGGGATTACAGGCTTGAGCCACCACGCCCGGCCTGCACTTTCTTTTCTAAATGGAAAAAAGGATTAATAATTATTATTTTAAACATATGCTAGGTATACCTCTCTTAAATGCTGATCTCTAAGACTCTCTAACACCTGTCATTCTAGAACACAGTCAGCAGATGTCACAGCTAGATCTTCCCGGCCATTGAGAACGTGAAGGCCAGCCCACCCCTGAGACCTGATTGAACCAGCCTCAACCTTACAATGAAGGTTATTCCATCCCTAACAGCATTGAAGGACAGATTTTGTCTGTCTGAAACAATGAAAGAATAACCACGGGCTCACAGTTGCCAATTTTTTACCAACGACTTTGGCTTGACCAAACTTTAATTGGGTTTTTACCCATAAATCCCAAATGTTGCCTTTCATGCAAGCACTCAGAGGCACACTGTCTTCCTGAACAGCTCAACTGCAAAATCAGCTGAATATAGAGAAAAATATTTCCTGTTGAAGAGACCTGATTTTGCCACCTGTCTACTATCCATTTACCCTCCTCCATAACAAAGCTTCTGCAAGTCCTGCTTACCCCACCCTACTAAAGAAAAGCTCTATCTAGTTAATTTTGGATGCACACAGGTTAATAAAACCAGAGCATTCTCTGTATTTCAATAAGCCTTTTGATTAGTTTCTTTTTTCTTTTTATTTTTTCTGAGACAGAGTTTTGCTCTTGTTGCCCAGGCTGGAGTGCAATGGCGCAATCTCCGCTCACCGCAACCTCCACCTCCTGGGTTCAAGTGATTCTCCTGCCTCAGCCACCCGAGTAGCTGGGATTACAGGCATGCGCCACCACATTCGGCTGATTTTGTATTTTTAGTAGAGACGGGGTTTCTCCATGTTGTTCAGGCTGGTCTCAAACTCCCAACCTCAGGTGATCTGCCCGCCTCGGCCTCCCAAAATGCTGGGATTACAGGCCTGAGCCACCTTGCCCGGCCTAGTTTCTTTTTATCTAAGTCTGGATTTCCTTTTTTTTAAGAGACAGGGTCTCTCTGTGTTGCCCAGGTTAGATTTGGACTCCTGGGCTCAAGCAACTCTCCCACCTCGCCCTCCTGAAGAGTCGCAAGTCCAGTCGGAGGCCATCGCTCCCAGCTTGGATTTGTATTTATTTGACCACAGGGTCATCTGACGCCCACAGGCGAGGGTGTCAGATAAACTCCCTTGCTCAGGCACTGTCTAGACATGATGACATATACCATGATGCTCTTGCTGCCCATCCCCAAGGCAGCAGGTGACAGCACTGGGTGGGGGCTATAATTACCAAGCCCAGCAGGGGAGGCAGCAGCCAGACTGGTGCACGGGTGGACGTGGTCTCTTTGAGAACTGCCATGTCGCCCACACAACCCCCCCACCCCCTCCCTACTGAAATTCACAATGGAGCCAGCGCCCTTACCATGGCCAGCTCCTTCCACTGCCACCCAGGTGCCCTCCCAGGCTCCTGCTGCCCTTCGCCCAGTCCCTCTGGTGGTCAGTACCAGCATGTAGATTGGTGGCATAAACCTGCACTGTTGCAGGGGTGCCTGGGGTCTGTATCAAGAGAGCTTGATCCCTGGAGGCAGCCACAGGTGGGTGCCCCCTCTCCTTAGTCCTGCCACGACCCGTCAATCATCCCGGATGCAGTGGCATTCAGCCCTGCCTGGGGTGACAGAGCCTCCCTGTACCCCTGCCCCCACCTCCCTACCCTCTCCCTAGAAGGGCATCTGCTGTGCCCCCTCCTCCTCCAGGGCCCCTCCCAGCCTTTCAGTCTATCGCCATAATATGGCCGATGCTCTGCAGATTTTCAAGCCCCTCAGCAGCGGCTGCTGCAGGAAATAGGGGGTGCAGCTCTTTGCTCTCTGTCTAGCACTTACTGTCTGACCACAAAAGCCCCTGTTCCAAGGACATGGGAGGAGGACAAGGCCATCCTTAGTGACATTCAGGATGCAGAGCCATGGTGTGGTTCTTGTTTCATTTCAGTTTTGGGAGGTCATCAGTGATGAGCATGGGATCGACCCCACAGGCAGTTACCATGGAGACAGTGACTTGCAGCTGGAGAGAATCAACGTGTACTACAATGAGGCTGCTGGTGAGTAGCAGGATGTGTGTGCCCAGGAATCCTTGTTTTCCATGATGTGGGAGATGAAATGTCCTAGGAACATGCACGTGACAAAGGTATGCTTCTTGCATATTCATTTCAAATGCCAACTGCTGGAAAAACACGCTTTATGGTTTCCTAAGAGTCCTGCCTGTTTGCCACAGTTAAGCACGCTCAGGACCTCCTTTTTCTTAAAAGCAGAAAATCTCCTGTTCTCCTTTTGTCTCAGATGCTGGAATTGAATGCTGCTGTGAGTCCATCCCTAAGCACAGGTCTGAGTCAGTTCTCGTTTCCTGCAGGTAATAAATACGTACCTCGGGCCATCCTGGTGGATCTGGAGCCTGGCACCATGGACTCCGTCAGGTCTGGACCCTTCGGCCAGATCTTCAGGCCAGACAACTTCGTGTTTGGTATGTAGTCATGATCACTGGGAACTGGCCAAATGACACACCTTCTTCCTAACAGCCCTGCAAAGCACAGTTCTTAGTGTTCAGTGCCGAGGTGACACTGTGTCCACGGCAGCCCTGAGTCCTGGCCTAGCTCCACGCAGTCCAGGGGCGGTCATGGCTCACAGATCAACGCCAGCCTGCAGAGGGCTGCCGCAGCCCTTCCGTTGCAGAGCAGCCTCAGACTGGAAGGAAGAAAGAGCAAGGAAAAGCTTCAAGCCAGGCTTCATAGGCTATAGGCAACTTCAAAGGACTTCAAAGAGTCAGGGGCCAAAAGCACAGGTTATGACCGGAGCTAGACAGATGCTGAGGCCACCTTCTCTCCTGGTCACACTGCCTTCACCTTGCCTGTTTAATTGTACTTGAGTATAAAGAGAATGCCTGTTAAAAATGTATGTATTTCAGAACCAATTAAGTTTTCTAACCCTATCCTCTTCCTCAATCAATGGCCTCAGATTTGCTAAACTTCTAACTTTATTATGATCCCGAGTGTTTTTGAGAGTTACTGACATACAAAAATATTTCCGGCCAGGTGAGGTGGCTCACGCCTGTAATCCCAGCACTTTGGGAGGCCAAGGTGGGTAAATCACCTGAGGTCAGGAGTTTGGGACCAGACAGCCCAACATGGTGAAACCCTGTCTCTACTAACAATATAGCAAGAATTACCTGGCATGCACAGTGCCTTAATCCCACTACTGGGAGGCTGGCAGGAAGAATGCTTGAAAACCTGGGAGGCAGAGGTTTTGCATGAGCCAGATTGCATGCTGCCCTCCAGCTGGAGGGCACGTGGACTCCATCTCAAAAAAAAACCAAAAAGAAAGAAAAATATTCTTTAGGGTAAAAAAGAGTAATTCAAAAGGAAGAAATCTGCCAGTCTAAGACAAGTCCTACCTTCTCTCTGTAGTCAAATGACTGTAGTTAGGCAGGCCCGAGCGGCGAAGCTGGGAAATAACCTGGGCGCAGAAGGGAGCCGAGGCTTGGTCCGACTTCAGTCCTGGACGTGGTGAGGGATGGAGCTCCAGAGAGTGTCACTTCCCTCCAGGCGCTCCCGCTTACCCACTTCTCGTAAGGCGGGGCGCGGCACGGGTCCGGATTGGGCACCTGGCCTCATCACCAAGAACCGGGGCGAAGAGTAACCAGACGCATCATGCGAACAACTTCAAGCGTCATGCCCTCACCAAGGTGTACGACCGGTGTGGAGCCCTCACACGCACCCTCTCTTCCACCGCCTGGTGGAAACCAGATGAAAACCATTGCATTGGATAACAGGCCTGACGACACCTCTGCTCCCGCACCCTGAGCCCTACCACTCCACCACGGGACTCACCACTGGTGTCGGCCAACCATGAAAGCGGGGTCAACCCCTGCCCGCGCTTCCCGGGGCAGCTGAACGCAACTGCGCAAGCTGGCGTGAACTGGTGCCCTTCCCCGGCGCCTGCATTCTCAGCCGGCTTCGCGCCCCTCACCAGCCGGGGCAGCCAGCAGTACCGCGCGCTCACGGTGCCCGAGCTCACCCAGCAGATGACATGCCCTTGCCTAGCATCCATACGCTAAGAGGAGAGGGGCGGGGAAAGTGAAACGTTTTGCGGCAGCTGCACAAAGAACCAGGACAGCTTCCTGTGAGTCACCAGGGTGACGAGGCTCTCCAGTGGTGACATAATCAGACCTGCATCTTCCCAGCCTTCAAACAAGAACAACTAAATGAGTGAGAGCATCTTTGGCCTTTGCATTCAGTTCTGAATCCAGTGCCTCTCTAGATTACAAAGTATTTAAAATCCTGCTTCATGGTGGGTCCAGAGAGGGACTGGAAATGCTTAGCTAGTGAGGAGAGCACTGCTGCAGCATGGAAATGACAGGAATCTGAACGGCAGCTGCAGAAGACAGACGTGTCAGCTAAGGGGACACAGCAGGACCAGTCGCTGAAGGCCACTGTCAGTAGATACAAGGACTTTCCCATCAACCTTCTTTGTAGCAGACACTGTTGGACCCACTCTGTGCCTTTGGCCATGGTTTTTCTCAGACCTGCCGATGGCTTCTTACTGGAAAAAACCGTGGCCTGCCTCAGGTCTCATTTGTGCAGCAAAGTAAACCCCTTTGGAAGGAGGCCCCATTTACTGACAGACTGGAGGCTAAATAGCGAGTTCCCGTCCCCTCAGGTGGGGCAACGCAGAGTGCAGTTCTGCCTTGTCTCTGACAGATGCCGCTGGGTTGAACCCTTGCCACCTGCAGCAGTAACCTGTTCTGAGGCAGCCCCTTGGCTTCCTTCTCCTTCTTGGCTCTGTTCCCTACAGCACTTCCAGTGCTTCCCAGGACAGACACTGCCCTCATCAACTTCCACTCAGATCCTAGCCTCAGGGTGTGCTTTGGGGCACCTGACCTATATCACTCATCAAAGAAGAAATCGTGTACTAGTTTGCTATTGTAACAGGTTACCACAAAGTCAGCAGCTTAACACACCACCTCACAGTTTCCGTTGGTCTGGTCGGGAGTGCAGCAGGGCTGGGAGGGCTGCACTCATCGGGAGCTCAGGGGCCTCTCCCATGCTTGTTCACATTGCTCAGCAGGGTCCAGGTCGTCAAGTTCATAGGCCGAGGTTCCTGTTTTCTTGCTGGCCTTTGACCAGAGGCTGCTTCCCGCTCCTAAGGGCTGCCTTCTGTTCCCTGCCACACGGCCCTCTCCGTAGCAGGCTAGCTGATCCGTCAAGGTCATCAGGAAAGGGTCTCTACTGCTTCCAAACTCGAATATCCTTTCTGTCAAAGTGTGGAGAAATTCTCTTCTTCAGAAGGGCTCATGTCATTAGGGGAGGCCAATGAGATCATCTCTCTATCTGAAGGTCTTGGAAACTTAACTGCATCTGGAAAATCCTGTCACAGCAGTACCTAGATTTATGCTTGATTGAACAACCAGAAAAAGGTGAGTGTTGTAAAACAAAAATAAAATTCTAAGGCCCCCCAGCCATCTGAATGGAACCCTTCTCTCAGCCAAGGTCATTCAAAGTTAACCTGAAAAACTAATTCAGGCAATGATGGAAAGTGGGAGCTGGACATGTCTCTACATTCCCTCCTCCCTTTTGGAATTGCTGATAGAACAGACTCTCAAGTCTGATGAGAAATATTTACAATCTATTCTCTCTGAGGCCAGCTACCTGAAGGCTTCATCTGCATGATAAAACCTTGGTCTCCACAACCCCTTATCATAACCCAGGCATTCCTTTCTATTGATAACTCTTTCAACCAATTGTCAGAAAACCTTTGAATCTATCTATGACTTGGAAGCCCCCCTCCCTCCAGTTGTCCTGCCCTTCTAGACCAAACCAATGTATATGTTATATGTATTGATTGATGCCTTGTGTGTCCCTAAAATGTATAAAAGCAAACTGGACCCTGACCACCTTGGGTACATGTTCTCAAGACCTCCTGAGGACGGTCTCATGGGCCATTAGTCACTCATGTTTGGCTCACAATAAACCTCTTCGAATATTTTACAGAGTTTGACTCATTTTACCAACAGTATATACCATGAGCCCGGTGAATCTTGGGCCACCTTAGAGTCCTGCCTGCCCCAGAGTGGAAACAGCACAGCCTCTGGAACAAGATGAACCTGTGTTCCTAAAGTAAGTTATGTTTTTTACTTCCTAGTTATATGGCCTTGGGCAAGGATTTTAATCTCTCTGAGCCATAACTTCTTTGTCCAAAAAACGGTGATCATGGTGGCCACTTCAGAAGGGTATTATGAGGATTAAATGAAATGCACATGTAAATTACTCGTCACATGTGTGTGCAATAACTAGCTCTGTAGGAGCACCTTGTCAAGGGAGGTGTTCAAGGATAGGCTATATAACTTCCTGTCAGGGATTCTGCAAAGATAAACCATGATAATTTTGGAATATCTTTTAATTTTTTTTTTTTTTTTTCCCGAGACTGAGTCTCGCTCTGTCAGGCGAGAGAGAAGTGGGAATGACAGGAATCTGAACGGCAGCTGCAGAAGACTTCCCACCATTCTCCTGACTCAGCCTCCCGAGTAGCTGGGACTACAGGCACCCGCCACCATGCCAGGCTAATTTTTTGTATTTTTAGTGGAGACAGCGTTTCAATGTGTTAGCCAGGATGGTCTCGATCTCCTGACCGCATGATCCACCCGCCTCGGCCTTCCAAAGTGCTGGGATTACAGGTGTAACTCACTGCACCCAGCCGGAATATCTTTTAATTTTTAAATCTATAATCTTTAGGTTCTTTACAACCAGGAAAAGTCTGTGGCTCCATGTAAACATTCTTGAAAGAGCTTTTCGTCGGAAAAAGGGCTTCATTGATTGGTATTCAAGTATTTCCTTGGGGCCAGGTGCAGCGGCTCACACCTGTAATCCCAGCACTTTGGGAGACTGAGACAGGAGGATCACTTGAGCTCAAGAGTTTGAGACTGGCCTGGCAACATAGTGAGTAAAATGTTCTTGTATTGGTTCGAACCCCGAGAGTGCACCAACAGAGAACACGAGGCGGTTTGGAGCCACACACTGTTTTAATGAGTGCCTGGGTGCAGGCAGGCTGAGGCCTAAAATGTCCTCAGCACCAAA